CGGCGTGTTGGGCGCTGCAATGATATACGGCGCGTCGCGGAGCGTCCCGCGGCGCTGTGCTTCGCTCTGCTGTTCGGACCCTCAATATCTCTGCGAGCTGCACTAATGAAATGTGAAGGGAACGCGGAACCGAACGGGACGGAACGGGACGCGACAGGACGGCATCGCGTAGTATCGGGCCGCCGGCCAAACTCGGACCGAAAAATTAAAACCCATAATTGGCTATAAATAACGCTGTTGCGGGAGAAAAGACTCGACGGGAAAAAGAAAGAAAAAGATTGCTCCTTGCTGTGGCTCAGTTTGACATGATTCTTGTTCTTTTTGCAGTCCTTCGACTACACCGACCTATGCAGCAGCCAGGGCGTCATGGACCCCCTGACGGTGCGGGCGTCCTCACAAGGAGTCCCCAGCCCCGGGGCGCAGTCGGCGGCGGGGCAACCACCGCCCGCCAGGAGCAGACCCTGGCACGACTTCGGACGACAAAACGACGCGGACAAGATCCAGATCCAGAAATTGTAAGTATACATACAAAGTGTGATACGGACGTTGCCTGGGCCTTATGCACATACTACGTGAGCTCAAACTGGGACGGGGTACCCTTTGATATTTTTTTACCCCTGGGTAGAAATATCATGAGGTCCCTATAGGCTTTAGAAGTGGTAGTCCAGAGGGCCATCATGTAGTTGTAACTCTCTCCATGTAGTCCAGGGCTCGTAGTCTGTGCGCGATGTCGTGGAGCGTCGGGGCGGGCTGGCGGCGCGCGGCGAGCGCCGTGCGGGTAGGCCACCCGGCGGCAGCCCTGCTGGCCGGGACTGCATACCCGCCAGACATGCACGGCGAGCGGAGCCTGCCGCCCAGCCCAGAGGCCCAGGCGGGTGGAGGGCGTGGCGGGGCCGTGGAAGAGATTTTTGTTGTTTTCACGATGAAAATGAATCGCGCCTCGTCGTGATAGATTGGATAGACAGGAGAATAGAGATGGAGAGAGAGGAGAAAGGGGCGGGGCCGCCGCCCCTTATCACGGTAGTCTACGGGTGGGG